CCCCCCCCCCCCATTTTCATTTTTACTCTGTGCTTAATGCACACTTACCCAAAGAAATGTTTTAAAAAATTAATGAAACATAAAATTTTCTCACAAATCATCGCTGTAAAATACTCACTTCCACGCTCACATTTTCTCGTGTTTCCCTCGTAACTCGAATTTCTTTAGTTGTGGTGGGTGTGGCACAGGCTTGTTCATTTGGCTCAACTCGTCAAATAGAAATTTCCAGGCATTATAGTGTTAATTATTAAGAATATAGAACTGATAAGATATTAATTAACGTCGACCAAAAATATATATTGGACCTACCGCCCCCCTTCTAGTAATTTATTTATACATATGGTTCCCCTAATTTTTGCCCCCTCCTCCTACCATAAATAATGACCGTTCCCTTAGAGATTTTCAAAAACATTTGCCTGCAACTGCTAGGAAATTAAAAACCTATATTTATAAAGATGGCAAGAAGATCATTCCATACTTTTCAATGGACAACTTGCATGTTACACTAAATTTTAATCTAAGCAGAGAAAAGGGAATCAAACACAACAGCTGAAAAGAATATACTAAAATTAGTAAAAGTGCAAAATTTGGTTGCGAAATGTTGTAAAGCTTGGAAAATATAGCTTTGTAAGGTTTGCATATTTTCAGTTTCATTTTCTGCTCAAAAATGGTAACAATTTCCGCACGTAATACAAATATACTGAAAATATGCAAACTTCACAAAGCTATATTTTCCAAGCTTTACAACATTTCGCAACCAAATTTTGCACTTTTACTAATTTTAATTAGTTCTTAACGGGAATTTACTTTTTTTTTGTCTAGATCGGCTGGATCAAAAATTTGTCTAACATGCAAGTTGTCTATTTAAAAACGCATGTACTTTATAAATCCTGCATAAGCATAGCAATTTAGTAATTAATATCTGTCGTTCATCAAATAAGGTAAATCAATTGAAGCTAAAGACAGACACATATTGACAAATGACAATTTAAAATACGTAAGATATGGTCATACATGTACATCAGTAATATCGTATTCGTTCACTCCTGTGTCATCGCCATTCCTGTAATAATTAGATATTTTAAAACCGGATTATTTGCACTTCCGGTATTTTAGAAATTATGACGTCATGGCAGCCTCGTCCCCAGGTACGTCATGGTACGTTAGTTCGATATGATCTAACGCCGACCCCAAACCGCGCTCATCGTGAGAATTTTCGCCATGTGCCTCCACAAACAAACACTGTATGACTATAATATAGTTTCCATGAACTCATGGAGAATTTAAAATTAACTCAATCAAAACGTTGGTATCGAAATTGAAAAGACCGGATTTCACACTAGAGTGACCAGACTGACTAGAAACACCTTATGGGCCGATTACATGGAGAACTTTCAACCCTGGGGTTGAACTCAGCCCTATTAACCGGGTTGGAATTTTTCGCGATGACATGGACGATTTCAACCCCGGGGTTGAAACGCTATACTATACGTTGTCGGCGTCGATTCCCGGAAGTAAAAAAGCCTTTATTTTGTTTTCTTGTAATAAATAGTCACTACCACGTATGCTCGAATAACTCATGATAATTTCAGCCCTGGGTTGAAACGATTACATGACAAAATTTTCAACCCAGGGCTGAGTTCAACCCCGGGGTTGAAATTTCAACCCTGCTAGCTGAAGCAGGGTTGAAATTTCAACCCTGGGGTTGATCTCAGCCCTGGGTTGAAAATTTTGTCATGTAATCGCGCGTTTGATTTTGATAGAGTTTTGTATTACAGACGGGGCTGAAATTTCAACCCGGTAAACAGGGCTGAGTTCAACCCCGGGGTTGAAAATGCTCCATGTAATCGGCCCCTTAGTGTATTTAGAAATAATTCTAAACATAGCAATTAAATATATTTGCATAATCTTTTGTTTACCCTTCAATTTCCCTATTGTTCAAAGCCCTTCCCACTTGAAGTAATTAAAGTCCTGGTCTAGACGGGATATCCAGATAGATACACGTGATGTAAATTAAACCATGTCATTGGCCGAAATGCTATGAATATCTAATGATGTACGAGAACTTCAGATAAAACACAAGAATTTACATCTGCTTCTGTGTACCCTCCTTGCTGGAGATATCGCCATTTATCCAGGCCCTTGTAGAACTACAATATCGTTCAGTTCCGAGTCGCAGCATGAACCAAAGAACCGGAAATCGAAAGGACTCCCCGCTACATGTCTTGTTCTGAACGCCCGTAGCTTATAAAAAGCTAGCATGTTTTAGACGGGAAAAAGCTTTGTCATCTCTCCCGTTTTCAAGAGCTCGTTTACTCTGAGGCCGCAGATCTTGTCTGGGTAACGGAAACCTGGCTCACAAAAGATGTCGCGAACGCTGAAATTCTCCATGACGATTACGCTATTTACAGGAAAGATCGGGAACCCGCGCACTGGTGGCGGCGTAATGGTGGCAGTTCAATCGAGTTTTTTCATTTCACGCGATGTATACATTAAAACTGATATTGAAGTTGTACGTATCGACAGAACTTGTCACATGCTCAAAACTGAAATACGTATACGTAATCTGTTGTTGCTATAGGCCACCCGACGCGGATCAATCTAAATTTAACTCGTTCCTAGCAGAAGTTTCTTCATCAACATAATTATTTGTGGAGACTTCAACTTTCCCAAACTCCATTGGCAATATCCATCTGCTACTTCATCCGGTGATGACATTATGTTTACGGAACAATTGAATGATTTCTTCCTTACCCAGGTGTTCAACGGCATACTTCGAAACCCGGACTCGGATTCTAAGAAAATCCGGACTCGAGAAAAACCCGGACCCGGACTCGAATAAAATCCGGACTCGTGTTTAAGAAAACCCGGACTTGACTTTTGAAAACCCGGACTCGAAATAGAAAAAAACGGATTCAAAACAAGGACTCTGTGTACGAGAATGTAAAGGTTTTTTGGAAAGGTTTCAAATAGTCAACATGATGAACGATGATCTCTTTATAACAATAATGATGTATATATCTTTAAATAAATTTCTAGAGTGCTGTTGCACTATCTGGCGTAGTGCTGATAAAGAATCTGAATTGCTCGGTAATAATTGCGGGTGTCCCTATCTCTTCCCGCTTTCGGGCTATAGATATAGATAGAATACTTTATTTCAAAAGCAATAAGCTTGGTTTTGAAACATGTAGATCATTTTTTCTTCTAGTGACTCAGTGTTATGTGTTATGTGAGGATACTAATCAGTAATAATACTATGATTCCTCCCAAAAAATCACTATATAGTAGTATACCTGAAAAAAATTATTTAGACACTTAAACAGCTAAATCTACCCTAGACCTAAATTAATAACTAAAATCTGTCTCAGCAGTCAAGAATGTCTTGTCTGGAAACCATCTCGTTACACAAGTGCTGCAACCATAGCAAACAACGTGTGAGACTCAATACTGAGTATTACTGACAATGAAGTTTGACAATAAATGAAGTTATTTTGAGAATCAACATGCTACCCTCCGTACTAGCTGTCTTGTAGACGTATGCATAAATGAGCCGCGGTTATATGCAAGGCACTTCGGGCAATTGATGAACGCATTGCCTAACGAGAGAGTCTCAATATCACTGAATTTCGGCCAATTCACCCAACGCGAATTTCACTGTCGGTATTATTAGGCCGTGGGTGCTGCGACACCTTTTTTTGTTTCCACTTTAAGATTGCTTTCATTGTGATGTGGTTTCTACTATTTTTGATTAGGAATAATTGTGGGTGTTCAATTCGTGTTTGTGAACTTTATCTTAACAAAATTGAGAAAATAAACGTGTTTACAGCAGCGTCTTGCCCAAATATTTGAGAGCACTTTATAATATCAAATTGCCGCGACACCTTCACTGCCTTCAGCATGTGATGTGCTTTTCCGTTAGTCACTTTGCTAAAACGGAAATAATTTCTACTGAGTTTGTTTTTTGGCAATATATATATGCTGTATATATATATATTCGGAACTTTGAAAGCTATCATTGGATTTGCTACCATTGAAACGATGGCCTAAGCCACAAAACACGTTCGAGTTATTTTTCGTGTCATTTTGACAAATTTTTAGAAAGTGTGCTGTCAATTGTCATTGATACATGTGTTGGGGTATATTTTACCCTTGCCGCCAACACGTTGTCTGCTATGGTTGCAGCAATCATGTATCGAGATGGTATTTCGAAGTATGCCGTGTTCAACACCTTGCCCACACGAGGAAACAACATCTTAGACCTAATTATCCCTAGCCTACCAGATCAGATTGAGAACATTTCAAAACTTAAGCCAATGGACAGTGGTTTGTTTACCGATCATGACGGAAAAGTACATTACTTAGTGTAGTGAGAAATTACATCCCGACCAAGAAGATCAAAGGTCGAAATTCTCCCCCTTGGATTAATGGAAGTGTTATTCACGAGATAAGGAAGAAAGAAGCGGTGCGACGGAACTTAAGATCATCTCCATCTGACGCCCTTGCTAAATTTAAAGAACTGCGAATCAATGTTAAAAAATGGTCCGTGAAAGTCGTGAAAGATTTTATAACTCTCTTGATGCCAACTTTCAAACAAACCTAAAGCGATTTTGGTCGATCTTTAAGCTGAACAACAAGCAATCAAGTGTTCCAGATATAATGTCAATGGGAAATTCCGCTGAACCTGAATCATCACAAACTTATGATGTGTCTACCGCTACTGCGATTGCCAATCTATTCAATCGCTACTTCACATAAGTTTTTAACAGTGATCATGATAACCTGGATGAACGTCCCTCTCCACCGTCATCTTCACCTTCAACGTCAGGACAGTAACCTCCAACTAACAATAGAAGAGGTGGAAGAACACTCTTAGCGCTAGATACCACCAATGCTACTGAACCTGATGGAATTCCATCTCGACTTCTAAAAGAAACAGCGTGGAAAATTGCACCTTCCCTCACCCAAATTTTCAACAAGTCGTTAAGCTGTGGCGAATTACCTGATGAATGGAAATTAGCAAACATTGTTCCGGTACACAAGAAAGCCGAAAAGAGCCAAGGAGAGAACTATAGACCTATCTCTCTTCTTCCATAATATCGAAAGTACTAGAACGTTGTGTCCTGAGAAATATACGTGATCATTTGTTGCAATTAATCAATGATAGCCAACATGGTTTTATTCCCGGAAAGTCGTGTACAACTCAGCTATTAGAGGTTCTTGACTATATTTGTTCACTTCTGGACGGTGGCAAGCAAACTGATGTTGTTTATATGGCATGTCCAAGGCATTCGACAAAGTCCACCTCTATGGCATCTCTGGTAAACTCCTTCGCTGGTTTGAGTCATATCTAATAAATCGCAATCGACGTGTGGCTGTGCTAGGAGCTACATCCTCCGCAAGACATGTCAGGAGTTCCACAGGGTTCATATTAGGTCCCATACTGTTTCTGCTGTACGCGAACGACCTTCCGGATGTAGTAGAGCACTCCAAGATCGCCTCCATCGCCAATGACACGAAACTATTTAAGAAAATTGATTCCACTACCGATGCCATCTCCTTACAAAGTGACCTGAGTAGTTTGGAGAACTGGTCAACATCTTCAGGCCTTGTCTTCAACCAAAACAAATGCAAATGCAAATGTCAGCGTGTAACAAGGAAAAAGAATCCTATCAAGCACGAGTATAAGATCAATAACAAGTACCTGGTGGTCACCGCAAAAGAGAAAGATTTAGGCATATGGATCACGGATACGTTAAACTGGTCTTAGCATACCCGCGATCGCTGTGCAAAGGCAAACAAGATGCTTGGTTTCCTGCGTTGGGTTGCAACGGAAATTACTGGAGTAAGATACGCCGCACACTGCCTGTCAATTGTTCGCTCAACGCTAGGTTACGCCACTCAAGTCTGGTCACCACAATCGATGGACTTACGAGGACAGAACGCATTCAACGACGAGCTACAAAGTTTATTTTGAAGTTACCATTCGTGTGCGGAGAAACGTACAAAGACAGACTAATCTCTTTAGACTTACTACCAATCACCTACTGGCACGAGTATCTTGACATTATGTTTTTCTTTAAAGCTGTAAACAACATCATAACTGTCTCGAATGAAGTCCTTCCGCAGCCAATTATCCCATCAAGGCTCACTAGAACCTCGGTTGACACCAACATGCTCTCCTTCCGTTTTCGCAAATGTAAGACGCTCACATACCAACGCTCTTTCTTCATCAGAGTAATAAGAACTTACAACTCTCTGCCAGAAGGTCTAAGCCTAAAGCAAAAACATCTCTCACTGGTATGATTTAGAACATTGTTGCTGGACTACTATCACAACGCTGCCAAGACATCCTATGATGTGGACGACGCCAGAACGTGGAGAACAGTCTGCTTGAAATGCAGCAACACATCACGCAAACTCATCCAACCATTAACGTGTTGCTATATATTGGTACATGTGCACTATCAATTATCAGTTTCAATTTATATATTAGTTATTTGTTTACTGTGTCCAAAGGCCCACAGTAATTCAAGCACCGTCTGAAAAATTATTCGTGACGCGCGACGGAGGAAGGAAAATGATTTGAACAGAATTGGCGAGTGGCTTTTTAGAAATATATTGCCGCAATTACACCACCCAACTAAGGCTACGTTTACACTATACGGATAGCTTTCCGTAGCGGTGCGAAAAAGCACCTATCCGATACGGAATCTACAACTTTTAGAAGCTGAGCGGAACAACATCTCTCCGTTGCAATAATTCCTCTGAAAATAGCGTTCCTACTCGGTACAAGTGTAAACGTAGCCTAAGACCAAACTAATGTACATAAGGTGATAAGGTCAAAGCATCACATTAATTCCATGACCTGTGATCTTCCAGTAATGTTAAATAACCAACATATACCTCGAGCTCACTCATTCATATGTCTTGGTGTTGAACTCGACGAAAATCTTAACTCGAATGAGTTGGGGCTGGTATAGGAACTACGAAACGTATTAAACCATTCGAGCACTAATACATGCAACTCTATTTTGATTAATGTTCTCCCTTATGGGGGCGGGGGCATCTGTGATAAGCATGTGAAAGATAAAGCCCAAAAATTTCAAAATCATGCAGCCCGAATTATAGCTGGCGCTAGCTATGAGACAAGATCTGCTGATCTTCTTCGATCTCTCTAGATCTTGCTTGGGATAATTTAGAGACAAAGCGATGTACAACTAAATCAATACTATTGTACAAAGTCTTATGATTAGACAGCCCATAATTATGACCTTAGAAATGGTCACACTGATTAATTAGCCCTTGCAAAGCCTAGAAGTGAATTCCTCAAAACAGGGGCGAAACATGAGGGGGGAAGGGGGGGGGGAGGGGATGTGGCACCCCCAAAATATGAATCACCTCGATTGGCAGAGCAATCAAAATGCGAAGAATTTCAATAAAATTAAATAAATGAATTATGAGTACAATTTTAAATGATAAAATGTAGAGTTATTACAGCTAGCAAACAATAAGTAGTTCGTATGCATGTACGTTGGCATCGGCAGTTTAATTATACACGTAGCGTATAGTGATGTATTGTATTAGCGCTGGCGCTGCAGGCTGCAGGGCATCATTGGTTTTGGCAGGGCAATTCTGCCAGATACCCTCCCAGGGGCGTCATGGGTCCCATGTTTTAGGGAGGGGAGCAAGGGCAACATTTTCCCGACAAACACAATTTTTTCCGACATAAATAAGGGGGAGGGGGTGAATAGGGAAAAACAAATTCGTCGATCCGCCCAAATGTGAAGCAAAATCCGCCAATCCGACAATGGTCTTATCTAATTTACTATATTAAGTCACAATCCAGGATCCGAATTAAATTGCAAGCTAAATTCACAAATTGAGCAAAAATATTAGAAAAATCCGCAATCAGCTGTACTATAAGATTCGCAAATCTGTGTAAAATGTTCGCCAGATTCAAAATCCGAACAATTTTTTCGGTGAAATCCGACGATCCGAAAACCTATTCACGCGCTCCAATAATATATGAAATCATGATATTTGTGGTGTTACTCTGAGTGTATATCCACACCGGGCGAGCTTGAAAAATATGCCCGGCCACGGTGGGATTCGAACCTACGACCTTTGG